CCCACACCCACACCCACACCCACACCCACACCCACTCCCACACCCACACCGACACCCACACCCCACCCACACCCATCATATTATATGTTTTTTATTGAACAATTTTAGGCCAATGACATTTTTGTTGAATGTGTGAAGCTTGTGGCTCAAAGATCAAAAGATCAAATTGGTTGAAGTAAAATAGAAAATGGTGCTTCAATATCTAAAGTCACTCCTGGTTCTCAATCTCTTCAAGCTCATTATGTTACTTTTGTGTGGCTTCATTTAATTACCGAAGTTCTTCTGCGTATGCGCCATAAAGTCAATCATCGAAAAGAACCTTTGAATATTTGTAAGAGGAATTATTAGAGTAATCAACAAGACACAACAGTTGCTGCTGGATTCGAAAAGATATATTACTTATATCGCAATTTTTACTGAAAGTTTTTTTCATATTAATGAGTGAATAAAAAGAAATTATCTTTCACAGAATACAAGATCGCTCATACAATACTAAACAACGTGAATTTAAAAGAAAAAGACTTTATATTGTTTGAAAGAATATATTTTGATTATTGTCACTTAAGAATAATTAGTTGTGCACAAAGAATTAATTTTAAAAGCAGGAATAAAAAGCTATTATATATTCAAAGGAAACTTGAATTCGTATCGTGATTTAGTTTAGTTTGAAATCTAAATTAACGCCGATTTTCATCTAAAAATTAAATTAGTTTTGTTTGATTGAGATTCATATTTTTAAAGTTAAAATTACTTAGGACAATCCAAACGTAGTGTGGTCAAGGTTTTATTTCCTTATAGTAAGTTGAAAAAGTTTTTCTTTTTTTATGAATAGATATAGTGAAAGACGCTCTATCTATTCACAGTAAAAGAAAATTGTTGTAACTTACTATAACGAAATAAAACCTTGACGACAATACTTTTGGATTGTCCTAAGTATATGGTATTAAAATGTTCTTAGAATTACTTTCGAATAATCTTAAGTGTTGTCCTTTAATTTAGGACTATGCTGTTTTGGACGAATGTAGTCAGACAAACATAAAGTATTCCATAGATAATTGTGATGTTGAACAAGTACACACGCCAGTCGAAAAAATCTTGGATCGTATGGAGCAGAATGCAGCTTCTTAGCTTCACTTTCATCCAATTCATAAAATTTGTTGTTTTTAGATTGAAACCTTGTACGTTTCAACGGCTTGTTTATTAATCGTAATGATAGTCTGAATAAAACTTATGTTGTGAAGACAAAAAGTATATAAAATATTATCTTACTCGAACGTTTCGTCGGATCTTATATAGCGTGGATCCAGGTTAAGTCGAATTGGATTGACAGCTTCTGTATACTTATTTATGTCAGGTGGCAAGAAATATATATCGTCACATAGATTGTAACTTCGCTTATCATTGACATTTTCTTCCCGTACAAGAGCAATCTCAATCACAACTTCTAGCCTTCGATTTTGGCCTTCAGAAGTATAAATCTTTGGAATCTAGAAAATAAAATGAACTAAGCATTATTGTAGAACTCACATACACTTTCAAAGAAAATAGTGAATGCAGGTTTTAAGTTGAGAATTGTGCGACTTCCTCTCCATTACCGATACTTAATGATGTGGATTCTCATTTCAGGTACACACTGCTACGAACGTCTCCTTTAACAATCATATCAAATTTAACATTAACAAGCAGTTTTTGTTAGAAAAAATCTACCATTCTTTTTAAGGAATAAAAATATTTTGTGTTTTATTATTTTTATGAGAAAATCAAAGAAGATATATGAATTTCATATTTGGCACTCAAAAGATTTGTACTATTAAGCTTTTTTTTATGAAGCTTGTAGAAATTTTTTTTAGATTTATACAACTTTTTAACATGAAAATGTAACAGACTCCAGATGAAGCTCTCAAGTGAATTAGAATATTTCTGTTCAATTGAAAAGTGTGATGTTTAATGTATTTTTGTCTTACAATGAGTTACGATAGATTATTTTAATATAACTGATTGTGAAATAGTTCTTCGAGCTTGAAATATATAGTTGTGATGTTCACATATATAATGTAAAGCTTTTCAAAGTTTAGTGCATCGATTATTTTAGTTTATTCTGAGACGTAAAGAAAATTCTGTGCACTTTTTTTATACAAGTTTAATAAACGCTTATTCCTTATTAATAACCGAACATCTTCGATGAATATCGGCTACACAATTTATGGTTATTTTTGAAAAAGTAGCTGAAAAGATTTTGTCGATGGTCATCTAATTAACTTTGACTTCAAAATTGTATGATTCAGACTTGAGTTAAGTAAAAGATCCGCACAAGTAGAAAATCTTTCTATAAATACTGACTTTTAATTTAGGCAAGACACAGTGTTGTTGATTTGCTTCAGGCTTAACTCCTTGAATTCGCGTGATGTATGGTGATCGTGCTTTATCTTGGAATTTATCACAAGAATCTGACACGTATTGTGTTTTTTGATAAGGATGAACATCACATACAAATTGTAAAGGAGATATTTGTATTGATGTAGTCTGCAGTGCAATTTCATCAGAAGGCTACAAAGTAAGATCATCGAATTGATGTTCATGACAATTTATAGATAATGTTCTTACTTGAATCTTTTTTCTTTTATATGGTGACTCCAGAATAGAATCTGTATCATTCTCAATTGTTTCTTCAACGACACCATTAAAATTATCAGTGAAATATAATTCACTATCACCAAGTTCAAATATTTTTTCTGAAGTTCTCGAAAAACATATATGTCCTGTGATATCATCGTTTGCTAAGCGTAAATGTTGGATGGTATCATTTTGCGAAGAAATGAAATCTTCTATAAGGTTTGAGTCAGCTGGTTCACGAACATTTGTACCTACTAAAATGAAAGGATATGCTTTTTAGACCTTTCGTTTCTTATGATAGTCTTACCTTCGGAAGATGTTAAAACGAGGAGATCTTCAACATTTGAGGATTCAATTTCTTGATTAATCCTTATTTTGATATCGTCTGAGGCCATGACTAGGTTATCAATGGCATTCGATTCGAACGATGAATCTTCTAAATCATCTTTCCATTGTATTCCATTTTTGAATAAATCAGAATCATCGAAAACTTAAATTATAAATACAAGTTTTCTTTTCGATTAACACAAATATCAAATAGTTGGCTTGTAAAATACCTAGCGACAGTTCAAAACTGCACATAGCTATTCTCTTCTATTCTATATAGTACCTTAGACTGACATAAGGATTAGAGAAATTTCCTCATGGAGATTATAGACTACGAACGGTATGTACTCTATACATTTCGATATGAATATAAGTTCAGAAGGATGTCATCTTCTAGTCTACACTATTGATTATAAATCATGGTAGATATTTCAATCACTATTGGAAACTAATATGTTTTACAACAAAAGGATGTGCCAGTCGGTTACGTGACAATAATAATTAATTACTAACTAAGTAAGATTGAAGAAATACTAAATTTGAGTAAAATTTTTTTCTCGTTTATTTATAAATGGATTGATAGAGTATGAAAAGCTGAATGAATGTGAGCATGAGAAAGACAATCAGTACACTCATACCTATATCAATACTACCCGTTCGCATACGAAATGAGAAAAAAAGCTTAACTTTTTGAACAATAAAACAAAATAGACACTTTTGTAGCCCATGATCTAACGATTCTAATGTGATGAGACGCTTAATTCTATGTCTTATAAAATCTTAGGTTGAGTTACAAGAACAGTCAAAATTACGTGTTAAGAAAATTTTTTTCAAATTCAACAAAATAAATATTTTTCTAACTTAACAATTTTTGACAAAGGAACTTGATATAACTGCGTGCGTAATATTAGTAGTCGTTCGACTTTTTTAGCATTTTACTCAAGTAAAGGGTGATCGAATCAAAACGAAATATATATTTGTGATTAGTTTTTCACATTCCATGAATCCATACATAAGTAAACGGGAAACAAAATTCACTGATATTTTGCATGTCTTCGATTCGTCTATATCATGGAATATTGTTTAGACTGTACTTTTTCCTATCATATATGGCTGTACATATATTCTAACTTACCTAATTTAAAATTATTCAGTAAAATATCACCACGAAGTTCTGTCACATGTGTACGAGGCAATCGTTCGTATAATTCTTCCAAATATTCTTCATCTAACACAAATGTGTCCTTAAAACATTCATCGTAGACTTGAATGTCAAAACTAAATGAATTGAATTTCAATTTATTGGCAACTTTGCTTTTGATAGTAGTTAAGGGTATGGTGGAATTCAAAATAAATTTGTGAAATTTGTTGTTGAATTGAAGATAAAGATTATACGAAGCCATACGTTGAATAGTAGAATTCATTGCACATATATTACAGAGAATCGACTTTGAATCAATATGAAAAGTTTTTCGAGATATTTGCTATTGTTTAATGTACATGTATTTTTTATAGACGCCACACCCAAGGTTAACACGCTGCTTGGAATATTTTGACGCGTTTTTTTTATGTGCAAAAAATATTTTCCTATCTTTTTCGTTCTGACTTACATGAAAGGAAAAAAAAAGAGAAGAAAGAAAAAATACTCGAAGGAGGAAAAGGCTTATTCATGTTTTTTGCATAAGAAAGTTGTTTTTTCTGTTCCGTCTGTCGTGTTGATGATGAAACAGTAAATGATTCAGCAGAACAAAAAAAAACATGTTTTATCAGTCTTATTTTTCTCAGAGTAAGAAAAAACTTTTCCAACCACATTATCTCCTAGTGTCTATGAAATTTTTGATATCAATGCATTTATTTAATATCGAAATACAAGAAGAGTAAAGTTGAACAGAAATGCCCATTGAAACAATATTAGAAATTCTGGATAAAAATGATAAGCAAATATCGAAGTACAGGTCAACCCAGCTCACTAATGCAACGACTATGGATCAAGTTTATACTTTCATATTAAGAAAGTGTAAAATTTATAAACGTTCATTCGGTGTTCTAATTCGTGTTGAAGACAAGCAATTTGTTACTTTGGATGATGATTATTTGATAGATTTCAAGCCTTTCATTCCAAAGGGCGACTCTTCAACTGATGCTCAACCATTTGATTTATCAAACAAAGTTATATTGCAAGTTATTTTGAAAGGTAGATCATTTGGCAATATACTACATTTCTCAAGAATGTAGAAGTGTGAGTGTAGATGTTGGTATCGATGAACATGTAACCATTAAAAAATCAACATCTATACCTTCACTCACTTATATCCACTCTAATTCATACTTTCATTTATTTTTCTTTCCGTAGATTATGTTTTACACTCGACTAGTGGTCAAGAACTTCTGGCAGCTGGAGAAGGTATAAGTAAATTTAAATAGTTGCATTTTAATCAATAATTTTATTTTATTGTTTCTAAATCAGGAACTCAAAATAATGAATATACAAGAAAAATTAATACAAGTGTACCTGTTTCAGAATCACAACAATTAAAATCGTTGACATTGTCAAATCCTCCACATATGGGTTTTACTCGTGATGTCAATAAACAGCAAAAGAATCAGTACATAAGTGATAATATTATACGAATCCAAGGAAAAAAAGATCCAACAAAAGATTCTGTATTGCCTAGATTTCAAGTAAGTGCTTCAAGTGAATTACATATAGATATATATATGTATCAAAATTACTCTTATGTATGTTTATGAGTAGATTTGGTATAAACAATTTAAAGAAGACAACGTTCGTGACTGGACATTAATTGCTTACATTGTACTGGATGAATATAAATCAGGAAAGCGCACATTGTACAAGGATTCATTGCGAGCTTTTGTTAAAAAAGAAAAGATAGACAAATACTTGGATGAATATGAAATACCTATTGAAGGTGAAGACTGGATCAGTAAAAGTGAATCTAAGTAAATTAAGATTAACCTTACTAAATCAAATATAATTTATTTTATCTTTCAGTCTCGAATTATGCGTGGTAGCAAAAAAAGAAGCAAAATTAAAACGAAATCGTGGTAAAGTAATTCCTTTATGTGAAATCAAAAACAGTGATACAAGTCAAGGAGCACAATCCTCCATTGACTCTATTAAGTCTCGTTTGGCTATTGTTTTGAAAAAAGGTTCTGATATTCAATGGGAAACTTTAGTTCTGTCAAATGAAATGGTCTTTACAAGTATTAATAATTACTGCTCATTTCAAAATAAAATGGGAGTGGGTATTTTTTGAATAAATTTGAATAAAAGCACGATATAGAGAGCTGACGTTTTCACCATTAAAAGAGATGAAATAGAGAAGCATAGAACTGTATATTATATAAATTTGACCTAATTTAATCAAAGAGTTGAATCAAAAATTTTAAAAGCCAATATACTCCTTAAGATGATTAATACCAATTTTCAATAATTAAATGTATACTCGAACCGGTAAATGAAGATCTAAAAGCTTACACGAGACCTAGAGTAACGTATTTATCCGTTCAAGATTTATAGGCACGTTATATGAAAGTCTCAGCCAATTTTTCTATTAATTTCTGTAGAAAAATTACTTTTTTTTTTGCATTTTTCTTATTTTTGAAGGTACTGATTTTCTGTTATTTCTTACAGAGCATTGATTATGAAAACTTTCGAAAATGTCTCAGAGAAAATTGTAATACCCCATTAAGTGAATCTTCATCTCCTCTTTTCAACGGTGAAAACCAAAGTGCTCGATACCACTTCTATCAAAAGTTATTCAAAAAAAAAATACTTATCTACCTTTTTTGTTTAAAAGCGGCAAAAGATTCATAGAAAATATAATTTTTTACTATTTCCAGGGAAATCTGAGATTTCCTGCGTATCTAATATTTTGAAAATACCAAAAAAGGTATCAACATCATCAAAACAACTTCAATCGATGAAACGTCATCGTACGCTGTTTTCTTTTATGTTGTAATCGTATTAAAAATTTTTATTGTAGAAATGGCATCAAATACAAAACCAAAAGGAACAAAAAAAGCAAAAATACAAACTCATGCATCAACAGAGAATCTCATGATAAACAATAATGATTCTGCTATGCATGTCAATGGAGATCTCGTAGCATGTGATAATACTACAAGTATAATTATGGACATTACACCTCAACCGATGCCAAATAATTCATCAAGTGACCCACAGCTTCTTCTCGTAAGTTATAGAAAATATCCTAGATATTCTTACAAAAAACATTATGTTTCATACACATAACAAAATTCCATTTTCAAAATTTTGTTTTACAAAGTTGAAAACGAATTTATTATTTTTCTTAACTGATCTATCCTGAAGCGGTCTCACTGTTTTGTTGTTTTTTTAGGACGACTTATTAAATACCGATTTCTCAGCTGTACATTCAATTAATATGCTTGATTTTGATCTTGATTTAGATACAAACAATATCATGACTTCTAATGATCCTCGCTTATCTGATGCTGCTACCTTTGATCCTTCAAGTTATTTTTAAAAAAGAATTATAGTATAGCATTTTTTAAACTGTTTACACAAGCTTGTTGATTTTTTTTAATGACTTAAAAATGATAACATCAAAAAAAAAATATAAAAATTTGAACAGCAAAAAAAAGTTCTTGCAAAAGTATTCTTTTTTTTCAAAATATATTCTATATTTTTTAGCTTAATTATAATGCTGTTGAATTTCCTTTAAAAAAATTTTTTTTCGAGACAAGGTCTTTATTATTATGTTACAAAAGAAGAAAAACAAGTTTACAAGTAAATACGTATGAAAGGCTGGAGAAAAACGGAGAGACGCATGACAAATGTCTTTTGACTCATGTGATGTGTTTATACATTGCATTTAGTTTTAACGTAGTATATGTCGCAAACTTGTAGTATGCGAATCTGATATAACAATTTTTATATGGATTCGACCGATGCATCATTGGTCTATAATATCGATGTATGTATATATTATATAAGTGAGGTGGGTGATTTCTTGTTAAAGTTGATGAAGCATCTCTTTTAAGTTGTTCTTCAATAGCTGATTGTTGCTGTTTGGATATAAGGTCGTAATAGTGTAATAGCATATTCTTTAATTTTTGGTATATTGCTTATCTGGTGTATGTATTCGACTGATGTATATATAAATAGTCCTAATGCTGCACGTAGTGATTTATTTTGTATAATTTGTAGACCTTCCCATATTTTATCATTAGCAGTCAATAATATTGGATAACCATAAATGAGCATTTCATAAAATCAATTAAGATATCTACTCAAGAGAGTCCTATTGTCTGTGTATGAATGCAGGTGCGAGTGACGTTTCGTCAATCATTTGCATTCATATTCAACTCAAACTTCTGTAAATTTCAACTAATGTGAATATTTAAGTCTTTAATATTGAATACGACTAAATGATCCTACTGTAGGTACCTATCAGTAGGATAATTGAAACATCATATAATACTATCGTGGTCGAACTGTAATGAAGCTTTCAAGTCCTCATATCAACTATGAAATTTATTATAATTTTCATTCATTCTCTTATTTAATATTTCTAAAATATACTTGACAATTATCCCAATAAATACAAAACTCTCACGTATGGTTGTTGTTTTTTATTAAGAAAAATCTTTCAAAAAGTCGGAGTTGACGGAAAAAAAAATAAGTAATCTTCATGAAAAAAATTTGAAGGAAAAACTAAATATAAAATCACAATCTTCGTCTAGTTTTAGTCGATGCTTTAATAAGACCATGTTTTCTTGCTAATTGTAATGCATCCTTAAGTTTAATACAAGTACGATAATCATCCAAAGCTTCTTGTCATTTACCATCTTGTTTTCATCGTGCATCACCACACCATTTATATACAACTGGATCACATAGACGAATTTATAAAGCTCTTTAAAAAAATGTTTTTCTGCTTCATATGGTTCATTCATTGTTAATAGTAATTGTCCAAGATTTACATGAATATGTGCACTTAATGGTGAAATTTTTAGAGCATGTTCAAGATCTTCACGTGCACTATCATATTGTTTTAAAACAACTTTAGCTATAGCACGATTGGTTAATGCTGCTTCATCTCGCGGATTTATTTCTAAAACTCGATCAAATAAACTAATAGCTTGTGGAAATTGTCCATGAAACATAACTATATTTCCAGTATTATAATGTGCAAATGCATGATTTGGATCAGCAAGCATAGCTGAAAGATAGTCACACATAGCATTTTTATTATCACATAAAAATTGTTGAATAACACCACGATTTGTAAGTAATTGTGCTGATGATGACCGATAACGTAATGCTTGATTAAGATCAATAAATGCATCGGTTGGATGATTCATTTGTAAACAAACAATAGTACGTGCTTCAAGTGCACGAACATTTGATGGATTAAGATGAAGTATAGCTGAATATTGTATCCAAGCATGTTGATAATAACCACGTTGTCGAAAACAATAACCAAGATTAAGTCGTGCATTTTCATGTAAGGAATTTTCATGTAATATAAATTCATATAGTTTTGTTACTTTTAATTTTGAATTTTCATTACCTATATCCATAACATTGGCTTGAGATATACATACATCATGTCAAAAATTCATGTTAATTGTTGTTTGTTCAATTGTATCAAATGATGTTAATTGTTCAATCGCTTTATCAAATTGTACTAAACGATGATGACATTGTCCAATAGTATAAATTAATTTATGTTTAAGTATTTGTATTTGTTTCTCATCATTTGATGTTAATACTATTTGTAATGCTTATTGAAAATCGACTAAAGCATTTTCAAAATCTTTATGTTCATAATGTAATAAATCTTGATTAGCATATGTTTTAAGTTCAAATAATTGTGTCTTAGTAGTTTTTATTGTTGATACAAGAGATAAAACAATAGCAAAATTTCTCAATGCTGATGAAAGATTATTACGACGTACATAACATAATGCACGATTTTAATATGCATGTGAACAAGATGGATCAATTTGTAATGATATTGATAAATCTATGATAGCATGTTCCTATAAACGAAGAGAATATTTTAAACAACCACGATAAAGATAAGCACGAACAAGTTTTGGACATAAACGAATAGCTTCATTACAATTTAATGCACCTATTGAATAATGTTCATAACGAGCATACCTAAAGGAAAAAAAAAACAATTCGTCAAACTTTCTAAAAGAAAAAAAAACATCGACCAATAAATTTTAGTACATACCAAGCAGCTCGTGCAAGATATGCTTCAGCACTATTAGATTCAATAACAAGTGCTCTATTAATATCTAATAATGGATATCGATTCAATGATAATTTTATTAATTCCTGAGTTGAATATTTTGTAAACATTCTCATTTTAGCAATATCACGTTGTAAATAAGCTTCAGCATTTTGTTTTGCTGGTTGAATAGTAATAAGTATAGTTAATTGTTCAATAGCTTGTGGATAACATTTAAGTTGTATAAGACATTTACTTAAATCTAAATAAGCACCATAAAGTTCAGTTGCTTGATCAGTAGCTGTATTATTTTGACATGCTTGTATACATTTTTCAAATGCATCATCAAAACGTTTAGCTTTTATACGTAATCTACCAAGCATACGATTATTTGCAGCTGTTGGATGAAATGAACATTCACATTCCATAATTGATAGAGCATAATCAAATTGTTCAAGAAATGAATGTACAATAGCTTGTTGTTGAGGACTTGATGCACTCATTTTCATGGAAGATGATATGGACGATACTTTGTCTTCTTCAGGACTTGATAATGATTGTAATTTAGCAGCTGCTTCAACACAAAATGAAGACAAATCAAGTTGTCCCATAGCAAGTAACATTTTTCCTCGAAGTACCATTAGCAGCATTTTGATCGGGAAACATATGATAAACTTAATAGAAAAGAAAAAAAATTAATAGAATTCTTTTCAGTAATTGAAATATTTTACTTTTTATATAATCTGAATAAGCTTGTTGTAATTTATTAATTTGAGAATAGATAATAAGCACAACAAAACTAAGCTCGAACATATGTTGGTTCAGCTTCAATTGCTCTTGAAAATAATTGTAAAGCTTTTTGTACATTTGTTCTCATATAAATAATAGCTAAATTACATAATGCTGATGCATGTTCACGATCTAATATTAATACAGTTTCATAATCTGCAATAGCTGCATCAAATTGATTTTGTTGACAATAAATAAATGCATGATGAAGATTTGCACCAACATTTTCATATTCAGGATTAATTAATAATGAGATACTAAAATCTTTTAATGCTTGAGCTGGATTTATATGTACGTAGTAGACAAGCACGATGATAATAAGCTTGCCAATTAGATGGATCATAATGAAGTGTTGTAGAAAAATCTGCTAAAGCTAATTGATAATATTCTAAATAATAATATGAAACACCACGATAAAGACGTGCTGTAACATGATCTGATTGTCGTTTTAATAATTGTGTAAAATCACTAACAGCATAATCATAATTATTTGTATTAAAATAATACATAGCATGTTTATACCCATAAACAGAAGAAATAATTTTCTCTTTTGCTTTTGCTCTAATTTAATTTACAAAGCATCAATATTTTTTGGATTCAATCGAGTTGTACATAATCATCCATAGCTGAAAGAATTTCATTTCGTCGTTCATAAGTTTGTGCACGTTGATAATAAGCTTCATGATCTGTTGGATTATAATGTATAGCTTGTGAATAATTAGCGATAGCTAATGCTAAATCATTTTTAATTGAATATATATCAACACGTAATTTATAAGCACCGGCATGTGTTTTATTAAGTTTAATACACATATTTAATGAATCTAATGCTTCATCATAATGTTCAAATATCATATAAGTGAGTTCACGTTGCCAATAAGCATCCATAAATGATGGTTCAATATAAATAGCCAATGATAAATCATTAAGAGCATCATGAACTAAACCACGTTTACGTAATAAAGCTTCTCGTCGTGTTAAATAAAATGCATCACGTGGATCACGATTTATTTCGTCTTCAATTAAACGACGTTCTTCACTGTCAGCTAATTGAAGATTAATAATTGGTTCAAGTTAAATAGTTGAATTTTGTTTTGTTTGACTATCATCTGTATCCGTTTCATTTAAAATTGTTATGGATGATTCTTCTTATGGTGCTATAAGTATCGTTTGTCGTTTAATTTCATTTTCTTGTCTTATTGTTTCACGTTTATCTAATTCGGCTACATATTCATCAAGCCAATTATACCATAATTTACGTGTCCATTCAAATTCATTTAATACACGTTCACCAGCTGATTTAATACGTGTTTCATCATATTTATATTTTGTTTATCAAGTTCAAGACTTGTTCGACGTTGACGATATTTTTTTTAATATATGTGGCTAATGTCGTTCATAAAAAAACGCTTCATGAAATGAATTTCGTCTTGATATAGGTGGATAACGTGGTGGAGCTGAAGCTATAGTAACAATAGCATCAATACGTTCCGAGAAACGAGCATCTTTTTAACCACGATGACTTGCTCGAAGATGACCACTAGCAACAGCTTGTTTATAATGCACTGAACGATATGTTTTTCGAAAATATTTAAAATTTCCTGATGATTCTTCTGATATTTCATTAATTATTGATTCTAGAAATATTTTATTTGTAAAATTCTTATAGAATTAGAAAATGAATAACAATTCTTTTTAGTGTACTCAAAAAATGAGTACACTACTATAAATCTGTGTGTAGCTACCACAACACGATCATTGAGCACGATCAGTAAAATGTTATGACGCGTCAAAATGAAAACCAATCAGAAAGTGACAAATAAAAAATTATCACTATGAAGGAGAAACCCATAGACATGGTGCTTCATAGCAACCGTAGCATATATATCACTGCTATATATACAGATATTGTATTATCGGTAACATGAGAAAAAATGTTATTTTTTCTACGAAATTATTTAGTGCATAATTTCTAGACTTCTTCCTATCCTCAAAAAATCATGCATCTTTCAATTTTCTACTAGAAATATTGAATATTTTGTTGGAAAAAAACTGAAAATGAACAACTCCACAGAAACAATAGATTATTTTTATAGATAGAATTTTTTCTTTAATAAAAATATTATTATTGATAATAAAAAAGAATCAATTGCATCAGTTTTCAAAGAACAACTGATTTTTATCAACTGGAACTTTATTTAATTGATATTATTATAGCAAATTGGCTACGAGCTATAGATTAATATCTATTATTAATCTGTTAGAAGACTAGGATTTAAACCGAAATAAAAATAAATAATATAACTAAACGATAGTTTCAATTTCAAGTTTAAAAACTGAACGGAGATATAAACACCCAAAAGTTGACCATTTCCAAACCATTTTTCCCATACTCGAAATATATGTACACAAGTTCCCTAATACTGCTAACATTGCCGTCTCTCCTGTTCTCTAATAGAATATTTTAATGTGTAACATGACAAAAGATATTGATAACATTTTCTAAGCTAAATAAAATAGCATGTGAGATTTTACATTGTGCTCAACTCGTTACCTGTTACGAAGTCATGATATGTGAGAAGCTTATTCAATATCTTCTAATTAAATACTGTAAATGTAAATATAGTATTTCTCCGAAAACAAAAAAAAGATTCAGTTTTAAGTACCCTCTCTTTGATGTACTATTACGGTTTTTATAAAAATGAGAACTTTCGGTTGATTAGTGAAGATTTCAATAAAACTACTTTTACTTGATAGTGAAGTAATTTGTTGTTAATTAACCCTTTACGGCCGGGTGTTGCCAAAAGGTAACAATTTTGCCGTAGGGGGGTACGGCATTTTTTAAAAAGTCGGCCGTGAAAAATTGATCCCCATAACTAAACAACAAAGAATATATAGAAAGATAACTTTTTGCTTGTTGTCTTCTAGTAGCCGGCCGTAAAGGGTTAAATGTAGAAAATATAATGAGATAAATGAAACGAGACTTATCTTACTGAAATCTATTATCCCATTCGTAAACTTTAGAAAATATATTCATTATATTAACGCTGCCATATATTAATCTGTCAAAGCTAACTCAATAGCTTCTATATTCTCTCGCTAGTGTACGTTAAAAGTATTAACCATGAACTCACAGTGCTCCCATGAATGATGGTCATCTCTTGAACTTCGACAAATTAAAGTAAAGAATTATGCATCTAAACTTCTGCCACAAACAATGTGTTGATTGATCTTGCCATTGAAGCATGTGAAAAGTACATATATAGTAATAATCAAATATCAATACGTACTCCAATTACATAAATCCAGACACCCCTCTTATGTCTTATAAACTTTCTTAGAAAATCGGTCACAGTAGTATCTATGCGTTATTTCATAATTTACGCGCGGTAAGAATTATTCCCCGGGAGAGGCGACACACTCTATATGATACACCATTCAATTTTGAATCGAATGGTATGGTACTTGTCTCTCGGCGATGAGGTGGACACTTAAAACAATCCTTAACAAGTTTTTAGCAATAGTGACCATATAGGATTTGGTTTTTTTGTTATGGTGAGACTGATAGTGAAGATAGTGGAGTAGATATTACGTGGAATGATATTCTCTTGTTCTGACGGTGCACACTTGCAGAGTATGTTGCGCTGTTAATATGTCAGTGACCGTACTTGAGATATACTATGGGATTTGTAGTTGCTTCTGATGACAGTGGTCACTGATAGAACGGTATTTGTCCATATATAGGAGTGAAATGTGAAGGAAATGATGATTTAGTTGGATCTAGAAATTAGATGAAGGTGACAAAAGAATTGATTTTCTTAGAAGGAGGAGGTGGGATGATTGTCTACTCCTTGTTGGTGTTAGTTGATTGTTGTGAGTTACAGATAATTGAATTTTTGGTTTACAGTTTTCGTTTGGAGCACTTGGTAGCTGTTAGAGTGTTTGCTTTTTAAGAGGATTTGATGGTAACTAAGCGTTTACTATAGGAATTTGCTGAATGGTATTCGGTATTTTGTGAATTTTTGATGATTGGTTAGTTTAATGATGAATATGATTGGTCGTCGTGATAGCTTCACATCGATCTACTATAATCGGTCTGTATGTTCGGCCGGCCATTTACACGATAACTTTCGAAAAAAGAGTCAGATAGCAATGAAATTTTCTCTACAGTTCAGTCTTTACAATATCTCGGTCGAGTTCGAAGATGAGAATGATTCGTAAAGAAATGGCTGAGTTATCGAAAAAATTGTGATTTTTGGCCAGATCATCCCTGAGGGGGGCTACGGCGATTTTTCGAAAAAAATTTTTTGCTCATAATTATTCACAAAATACATTAATCAACTCAGTTTTTAACGCTGATTCAGAATCTGATATTATTTTTGAACTGAATCATAGTTTTGTGTACTCAAAAAGTGAGTACACTGTAGAATAGTCACTGTGTCCGTCCGTTCGGTTGGCTGTTTACATGATAACTTTTGACAGCCGACTCAGATTGTGATGAAATTTTCTAAACAACTTAGTCTTGACAATATCTCAATCGAATTCGAAGATGAGAAGGATCAGTCGAGCCATTCCTGAGTTATTGCAAAAATAGTCATTTTTCCCTATAGCTTTCTGCGGAAAAATGAACCTATCGCGCCTTTCGTAGAAGACTTTTTCTATCACAGTCAATCAAAACTCCAACTATTATATATCATTCGATAGACAATTTCAAGAGCTACAAACTGATATATAAAACAAAAACAAACAAGAGAGATGACTTACATATGACAAGGATAATTAAAGAAAACTAGGTTAGATTTTCGTCCATGATCTAAATGATCGACAAAGAGAGCTCAATCTTCCGATCATAGTGATGATACTCCGAGGTTTTCAGAGATGAAGAATTCGAATGTATACTGGACTTCCATCGAAATACTATTAGTTGTTCAGTGACCAATAGAAATGAAGCTATAGGAAAAACAACTTTGTGAGGCTAAGTTAAACAGAAGAGTTGAAATGTGAGCTTAATTCGGTCTCAACTCCTATTGGTTTGGCAATCCGCAATAGAAATCAACATTTTAAATGGGGGATTTCACAGTATAATTTTGATATTCAGACAGTCTATGACAGCGTTTTTAATAGAATTTCGAAGCACAGTGTACACGTACACTTTGCTAAGGGAAAAATTTTACTTTCAGAGTGTACTTCAGAGCAAAAAAAAGTGTATTCTTGAAAAACAGAATGTACGTACACTTTGCTCTGTTGGTGTACTCCAATCATTAAAAATACTGGTCTAGAATGATTGATTTGCATAATTCACTTTTTAGAGTACACATAACTTTCGGATTTAAATCCGAAGTTTCTGGATTTATTTGTTTTTGCTATTTATGATTTTTTTGTGTATAAATGCTTTTGGATCTCAATCAATTATTTCTATTTGATATCCGGTCTCATTCTACCATCATTGTTGTTCTGTTCAAAATCAAAAATAGCTGATGACATTCATAGTAACATTTGTATCTGACGAATTCTGAAAATTGCTATTAGTTATACGAATGAAAAGAAGAACAACTATATTTTAGCACATTCTAAATATTACAATTCATGATATTGAAATAATGAAAGTGAATATCTAGTGTACTCTAGAAATTACAAATTATTGATTAAGAGTAATGAAACTTAATCTTTAGCAAACTCTCTAAATTTCGACAAGTTTAAAACTATAATTAAAATTTAAATTAGTTTTAAAATTAATATCAATAAATTTTTTTTAAATTTGAAAAACGAAAATTTTAGAGCTAACTTTATTTAAAATTTCAATAAATTAACTTAAGTGTACTTTCAATTTAAATTTTATGTTTGCAAATAAGAGGACACGCTAAACACTGTATATATTAAAAGTTAGTTAAGCTGTGTTTTTGAAATTAAAAGTTTAAAAAATCTTTTTCAAATGGAAGAAACAAGCTAAATTTTTCAATAAAAGTAGCCTTTTTCATTATTTTTACTACCTCCGACGTCGCGATCTATACTTGTTAGACGCAGTTTTTCAAGCTGCATGCAATGGATCTATTTTAAGACGTCAAAAGTAGTAAAAAACATCAGCAAGACTACTTTTATTCAGAAATTGAGTTTGTTTATTCCATTATGAGAAAAGAGCTTTGAAACGTTTTTTTTTAAAGTTTTCTGAGTAGTTTTTTGAACTTTTTATCGTAAAAAGATAGTTTAATCAACTTTTAACATAAACAACTTTCTTGATGCTTGACGAGCTCCATCAAATTATCTAAATACTTCATTTTTGAATTACCGGCAATTTAATTTTTCCATTTCAAAAAAAAAAGAACACAAACTATAAAATTTAAGAAAATTATTTTAGCTTGATACTAAAAAAGCATTTATAATTTTCACTATTTAGTATTCATAACCGCAATATTTGACGAGCTTTCATTTGATATAAAATTTATTATGTCTTCTATTTGAATTTCTAGCAATACTCTGCTAGAATAAGATTATTTTCAACTCTGTAGAAAATATGTTGATTTCTATATTAATCAACTTAACATTTAAAAACGAAATATTGAAATTAGTAATAACATTTTTTTGTTTTCTTTGAACTATAAAATTGAATCGATGTTATTAAATAATTAGGCATATAAAATCATAGTTCATTATCCGTGAATGCACAAGCATTTGTTACAAAATCTCAATAATAAGGAATATATGAAAGAGCTTTTATAAAATCGATGTATATAACAGCAACTTCATTCATTTCATCTTTTGTTTTAGCTTTAATAACTTGTCCATTAGCTCGACGAGTAACAAAACTAAATACTTTCCTTTTCTTTTATCTATATAAAATGAAAAAGTTAATGATATTAAAGTAACATCATTATTAGATAAAACTTTGTTAATAAAATTAAGTATTGATAGTATAGTTCCTTTTTTATTTCATGTTCAGTCATTATTTTATCAATATTAACTTATTTTGTTTCATAGAAAACGATTAAAATAATCTTCATAAAAAAAATAATAGTTACGATTAGATAAAAATATTTTCATTATTTTCTAAAATTATATATTCCAAATACAATTCTATTTCTTCTGTTTTCATCATTGAAAATGAGAATTTTGTTGTTTCATTATATTTTTGTGAACTATGTTATTAAACGAGTATTTTTATATAGTGATGCTGAATTAAAGTTATATAAATCACGAGCTTTTTCTCTTTTACACACCATGACATTGTTCCTTAGACGTTTTAATTCTTTTGAAATACTTCTAACAGAAGCAAACAGTAATCTAGATTAAAAGAAAATAATTATTCAAAAATAATTATTTTTCTGAGAATTTTCTATTAATACCTATTAGAATGATGATCAAGAAAAGTCTTATAACTCATTTCAGTTTACAGTGATCTATCCATCTATGAAGACAAAAAAAAACCTTTTTTATTATGTTTTTTCAATGAATTCACTCGATATATGACAGTGTCACCACTTGTTATTTTTCTTCGAATAAATCCTTAGTAAAATAATTTCATTATTTTTCATCATAGTGAAAATAATTTCAGTGCATTTACAGGTCATCTGAAGGTCTATAAGATAAATAATGTATATTTCTTAGAATATTTTTTATGTCAAAAAGAAAAATGTCACCAATCAACTTTTTTTTTTGTGATAACTATTTTTATTATTTGAATGACAAGAAGAAAATTTTTATCAGAGAAGATTATTTGTAATGAAATCTTTGAGTGTGACATAATAACCTTTTGATTATTTATTTTGAAGTTGATAGTAAATATTTATTGAAAAAATTATTCATATGAATAAAAAAAAAAGCAAATTGAAAAATTAATGTTGTACTGTCATTGTTCGAGCAGATTCATCTAATTCAGGTCTTAATTGTTTGCTTCGAATACAAGCATAAAATTTAATAAAAAATCTTCTTAATCCTCGTCTAAATGAAGGTGATGATGATATATAAATATAAAATGGTAAAGCTGTATTTAAATACATAATAAATGATTGTGCAATATAATTAATAAATGATTCAATTTGTTTTCTTTCTCGAGTTTTTGTTAAATTATCTGTTAAGATTTTATAAATAAGATAAATTGAAAATGGCATTGTACTAATAACATAAAACATAACTTCAATAAAAACCATTTTCATTAAATCTCTATCACGTTTTCGTAATTGATGAATTGATTGTCGATTTTCTCGATCTTCTCTTTTTGGTTGAACACGATTTCGTATTTCTTTTAAATTTTTCATAACTAATGCACTAAATATTAAAATTAATAATGGTGGAAGAATTCCAGCCGTTATCATATAATAAATTGTATAAATCATTGAATAAATATCATTAAATATATTACATGAACCATTTTCAATTGTTCGTGCCCAACCAAAAAATATAACTGCTATTAACCAAAAAAAAGCACAAATAATTATTAAATATTTTGCTACTTTACGTTTGCTAAATGAACGAATACGAATATTAGTAGAGACTATTCACATATAATGAATATTATTTCTACATTATTTTTACAATTCTCTTATTTTTTTTATTGTGTAATTAGAATGATCCTATAGTAATTTATATTAAAGAATTCGAGATTAGTTTTTAAAACAAGTTCTATTTAATTATGTTTAAAAGAGAATAACATTCACTTATTCAAATATCAATTAATTAAAAGGATAATATTTTAAGTAATAATGATTATATATACTCTTTACATACATCATTTGTTGCTTTAGATTTTATCGAGTTACGTAGCTACAGGATACCAGATTTTTAACGAAAATTCGAACTTTTTCTATACAATTGTAGAAATCAAATTCCTGTTATTCAAATATATAGAGTATATCAAAATGTCTGGTCATAATTTTTAAAAATTTAATAAAAAAATAGATATTAAATATTTTCCTAAGGTAATTTATATAGTATATCATCTCCAGAGATGCAGAATCTGCACTAAAATTAAAAAATTTCCCTGCACGCATGATAACTCTCAAAAAATTTCTCCACTATGAAAATAGAAGGAATTATCTTTTCCCAACCAAATCTTTAACTAAATATGTAAAAAAAAAACCAATAAAACAGAAATAATGCTAGCACCAACTAGAAAGAAGGTTATTAAAAAAAATGATTGTTATCAATCGTCAATTAATTCTGGTAGTCTTGGTTTGAATCCTGCAGGGTGCACATAACCTGCCCTGTCCCGCCCTGACAGGGCAGGGCCAGGGCCAGGTTACGAAATTTTTACAGGGCAGGTTACAGGTTACAAAAATTGAGCACCCTGTAGGACTCTATAAACGATAAGAAAAGCAAAGGACAATGATGTTTTTCAGTATTATTCTCAAGATAATGTTTCGTCTTATATATATCGTTTCTTTCTTCTTTTCTCTGTTCTTTTTTCTTCTTTGATCTGCTACATAGTGGGGATATTTTCCGATGAAAATGTAAATGTGTATTTATCAGTGCATGGCTTGTGTAGAGCCAACTGGGGTAAATGTATAGACTTTTTTTCATTTTTCTTTT